CTTCTATAGTAGTTTAAGTTAAACGAGCTGTCTATGATCTGATTAGTCTAAATAGGCCCAGCCCAACTTATTTAATAGGGCTTTCACCTGGTAACAGGCTAGTCCAAACTTGTTTAACAATAATGAGCGAGCTATAAGTTACTTTTCGGGCTAGCTAGTCCCGCTCGTTACTCAGTCTTAATCCAAACTATACCAAACTTTGCATGTGAATTTTTCACGTTCCAATAATCTAGCTACATAAAAATTTCATAGCCACGCATGTATTTTCGGACCTCCCCCACCCAAACAAATGCTTCATCAAATTCCAATACAAGGTAAAAACCCTGGGGATTCATGCAAGTGTAAGCCTGTAATAAGCAAAATACCAGCGGCAATAATCCAAAGAATCCTGTATGGAAAATGTGAAAGCAAGAAGAGATGAGAGAGAAGTGCTTCACACGCACACACCCTCCACAAGTTAATTTGAGCCCCATGTGTTATCTATGAAGTCTGGCTTATTAATTGATACCTGGCTTGTCAGAATCAAAATCCAGAATGAACCGAACATCCAATGTAATTGATGTTTCATGGAAACGAGTTGTCAAGTTCAATGTCCATTTAGGCCTTAAAACCAGAAGTCCAAAAACTAATACAGCATTCGGCTTCTACCAAAAAAAAAAAAAAACATGTTCGTAAAAAACCTTAAAAATTATTCACACGAGTCACGACTCTTGGTAAAACGTTTTCAGGTGATCAGAAGTGACTAAGCGAGAGATGCACGTAACTTTCAGCTATTTTTATTGATTTTGAGAAATGAAAATTATGCAGCTAACATATCTTTCACTTGGTCCAATTAAGACAAAGTACAAACTAATTAAACTCCACATATGCTTCTCCATATATCATATAGAAGAAGTTTATGATTCTTATGTGGTACTGAAACAAATAGTTGCATATATCACAGAAGCGCGGATCATCTCGCGAATAGGGTCACTGACACATTTTGTGGATTTGAGGGTTGCAAGGGTTGGCGATGCGTCAATTCAATCCGTGGAGGATGCAAGCCAGCTCCCGATGTAATCAAGTTGAATTGAGGAGTCACATCCGCAATTAGCAATTTGATTAAATTATTTGGACCGCTTTCCACCTTCCAAGAAGTCCATACTCTGTACCATCTCATCTTGGGCCCTTTTCTTATCATCATTATCAAACCAAATCTTGTCTAATCACATAATTAGTTCCATATTAATCACACAACCACAAAACTCTAAACTAACATTAACAAAACCATGTCACTTTAAATTCGTTTGACATTCGAGCCTGGATTGACACACCATGTGCTCATCATGCGTCACTATGTCTCTCTTTATACATAGATAGTTTGAACTCTTTGTTTTACAGTTACTAGTATAATTTGCCGAATTTGGTATGCCAATGCAATAATGAAGAAGCAGCAGAGCTTTCAAATTTGAGCTCTCGGATTAATCTTTATGTTCATTATTCAATGAAATATGAGGTCAAACACATAATTATGAGACGCTGGCAATCATAATTACGTGATGTTAATTATTCAACATTTGGTTTTACTTTTACTGGAACTAAACTGATTTGCTTATAAAGATCAAACACAAAAGGATATATTCATCAAATGAACTATTTCTTGTCATGGACTTCAACAAAACAAATTCAAGAAACTTGCGCATCATTCGCTTAGCCCAGTCAACTTGCACTGATAATATTAAATTAACCTGGATTGGACCATCTAAACCACAATCAAGATTGCCCGTCAATGAATTTTGAGCGGTTTTCATATTTCTTCACGGATCCTTTATTTCCCATGTCTCCTGCCCGCTGAAATAAAGAGGACCGCAGCACTGGCCGTAGTTTTTTTTTTTTTTGGGCCGAAGCACATGGGTTAAAATATTGTGTTTTCATCTCTCTAAATTATTAATTTTGCAAGCTCTGCGGAGTCGTAAGTTATGGGTTTTGGCTTTGGTATATATAATGGCATCCTTTGCTGGAGTTGGCGTATTGTAAATTGAACCAATCATGTTCCACGGATAGGACCCACCCAGCCTCATCCCATCATGTCAATCTGAGCAAAATTGTGCTTCCCTTCACATTTTCACATGTGCGCATAGACTTTTTCTCAATTTTCTAGAAACAGGTTTTTCGGTTTTGACCCTTTCATGTTCTGCTTCACAACAAGTAAGACCGATATTCTAGAAGCAGCTCAATGAAATTCACAGCTACACATGCTTCAATGCCTCCAAGTGCAACTAGGAACGACGCTTTCACTTTTCCGGTGGTGCACTGGATCATGGACTCGTTCGAAGGTTAATCTTTGATTGGTTTAACGTTAAACATCTCTCACACCAGAGAGTTTTGGTCGATGATAGCTTTTATGATTCGTGGTCATATATATACGGTATGTGATTGTGTAGTTCTTTTCTTCCTCCTCCTCAGTTACGTGTATCGCATGACAATTAATGCAAGCATTATAATGTAGCCAGCCACATGCCGCATTTAATGCAAAATGAGTTGCGTTCAGAAGGTGATCCTTGGGAGGCACATGATCCTGTCTTTGCTCTTTCGCAAGTTTGTTCTGCTGCCTGGCTGGCTGGCCGCTCTAGGGTGCTAGTTTCATTTTTCTTTCGGCTACTAACCACAGATTGTTCAATTTTAAAACAAATGGTCCATTATAGATAATATATTTTATCATGCATGCGCAGATTTTAAAATATCATCTACCATCACAATACGTCAAATTCCGATAAACCATAAACAGCTACAAATCCCCCAAGTTTGCTGGTAAGGTGTGGGAGTAGTACCCGCTAGGATCCAACGTCCCTGAGTTTACCCAAATAGAATCGAACTCACATGTCACAAGACAACACTCGAGTTGTTTCCAAAACCTCTGCATTAAAAAGCTACCTATGACATGAAGAGCAAGGTTCGAGATGCTGCTCACCAAGCAAAGTTGCAATAATTATCGTTGAGGTTTCTGACGAGGAAATTCGTGTTCGTTTTACACCTCAAAAATAAGTTCTTTTGCGTAGATCTGTTGCACTGGTGTAGTAATCTAACGTCACAGATTCACAGGTGCAGAGGAGCAGTATTTATTAATGGAATGGTCCCATATTCAGAACAAAATGCAAGAAAATTAGAGAGAGTTACTATTTACTTTTATGCTTTTTTGGGTTTGCCATAACGGGACTCATGAGGATCTCAGGTTTCTTCCTCTTCATTTACGAATATCCCTTTACAGTATGGATTCCGCTTGCATTGCCATGAACAGAACTCTGTAACAAATTGAACCTGAGTTTTTTTTTAAACCAAAAAGAAAAAAACAAGTGAACCAGAAAATGTATGTATCCCATGTGCATTTATGGCCAATCAGTTCTTACAGACTGCTACGAGAATGAGAGCATGAGGAAGATGGGTATCCAAGAGTATCCTGTGATGCAATACTTTATCGCTGGATCGTTCATTATATTCGATATTTTTAAAAAGATAAAAAGTTATAATTTAATATTTCTGGCTAAAATGCAAATGGTGGAAATACAAATTACTACCTCCGGTCCTTAATATAAGACCCTGTTTGACTTTTATTTTGGTCCTAAATATAAGATCTCAATCTACTTTGTCTCTTATATTTATGCATCTTTTTTCAAGATAGTCCTTCTAATAATTGTAGTCCTAGCCAATATAGTTGATTAGTAAGGATATTTTAAAAAAGGCAATACCTATTTATTACAAATAACTAACTTAACTTCTTTCTTTAATCTCCTCAAATTAGTCAATTGGGTTTTATAATTAGGATAGGAGGTAGTATTTAATTCGATCAGATACATAAGTTAAGTAAACAGTTTTCGTCTTTGCGTTTGATGCTAACTTTAATTTTGCAGGCTACCCCTAGGTTGAAATATTTGTGAAACATGGCTTTAAAATCTTCGGCAAATTAATAATCGAGGCCCTTCCCAACCGGAAATCATGTTTATCATTGTTGTCACTGGTCATTTTCAAAATTAAATCAATTAGGTAGACACAGGACAAACTAATTGGTACGTTCATGATAAATATTAAATAGTTATTTTGAATAATCGTCAATTCTAAACTGCTCTAGTAAAATCAAGTGAGATTAGTTTATCACAGACAAGCTATATTTATCTCTGACATGGTTAGCTTTAAAGATAGAGACCTACAAGTCTTTCTTTTTGCTTAACATCCTAACTAATTCATACGTATTAATAAAAATAATTAAATTATTATTTCATATTTTTATTAAGTATTTTTAATATTATTCTCATTAATAGTGCTAAATTTTAATATTATATTAATTTATATTCTCTTAATATTTTTATTAAATATGAGCATATATGTAAAAAAATTTAATTATCATTGAAACTATTTAGAGGTCTTATAAAAAGGTCTAAAAATATCTTCTAAAAGGAGGCTTATAATAGAGACTAGAGGGAGTAGGAGTACTACAAGATCCTATTTATTGAATTTTCGTATAAGATAGATAAAACATTTATAATTTATCTCCAAAAATGTACTATCTATCTATTTAATTTATAATGACCTTTTCACCTCTCTCTCTCTCCCTCGAATGAGTTATACCAATCAAAAAAAAAATTTCTTAACACTTGATTAACTTTAATTAATTTCCTTGATTTTAGGAAATTAGTTAAAATACATGACCTTGTCCAAAAAAGATTGGATATAGTATTACAGCTCTCCTGACCGGATGGACCCTCCTTTTCACTAAAGCAATCTAACGGTCGAGATTTAATGGTAGTTTTAGATAAACACTACGATAGATTCGACGGTGTAGAATTATAAGCTTCAGCATTTTAAGTAGAGCATCCCCACCTCTGCATAATATTATCCATTGAAACTTACCGCACAGAACACAAATCAGAGTGTACTTAAACTGCTTAATCTCATAATTTGAAACTGGACGAGAGAAATGCAAATTTTACACTAGGACAAATACTAATATGCAATATATACATATATAGGATCATGAGAATGATATGATAGTTAGTAGTGATATCATATACACTTGTGGCAGACTGAAGGATTGAGATCTCTGTCCCACTTTTGATTTATGCAAAAGAATAGCCAGATGAGCTGATTGAGTCCTGTAACCGAGTTTAACAACAAGTCCGAGTCCTAATTACGCGACACGAAACTAACCAGTCTAAAATGATTGGCATCTGCAATAACAACTGACGTTTTATAATGTTATTACACGCCACCCCTAACTTGTTCCTGGAAAAGCAACTTCATCTAGAAGCCATTTCTCAAGAAAAGAAAATGGCAATTCTGCGGCACACTCCGGCTTGCTTTCATCTTGGAAAAGAGTAGTAGGTTCAGGGTCAGGAGACAGAGATTGGGAAAGCTCAGAATTTGAAGAATCCAAAGACTCCAGCCCAAACAATGACTCAAACGTCTCGCATGTTTCACAGCTATTTCCCTTGTTGTATTCATCACTTGGGGCTTCTTTGCTACAAGCACCCAAGTTTCCGAGGGAGTTCTGAGTCACTGTTGAGATAGTGCGGGAGGGATTTTTCTTTGGCGGATTTTTCTTCCATTCCTTCAGCAAACGAGCTATGTTGTCAGCAGTCGCCGCATAGCATAAGGATTGGGTTGGTTTCGCAGATGTGGAAGAGAAGGAGACGGTATTAGAGATGTTGGACTGAAATAAGCCAGAAGGCTTATTATGAGGTGACACTGCGTCACGAAGAGCTCTCTTGGCCATTTGGATATCAGTTTGGAGCCTTCTCTCCCACTGGCCTCGAGACAATGTATGCGAAGCCGAAAACCCATCTCTCACGCTGTCTCCTTCGACATCCGTCTGCATTTTCTTCAGCTTCTTCTTCAAGTGGGTGTTCCAATAATTTTTTATGTCGTTATCTGTTCTCTGCGGAAGGTACGAAGCTATCGCAGCCCATCTGCACCGCAATCAATAATACTCTCCAGTTCAGCGCGTGTCTCCTAATATTAAACACTTGATAGTAATATCTATGTCGCTATAGTTTGGTTTTAGATGGATTACCTATTGCCCAAAAGAGCTTGAAGATGGATGATCATCTTCTCTTCTTGGTCTGTGAAATTGCCGCGCTTGATTCCTGGCCTGAGGTAATTAGTCCATCTGAGTCTGCAACTTTTGCTGCACCGCGACAACCCTGAAAACCAAAGGGAAAAAAAACCGATTTTAGAGAAAGGCGCCCCATCAAAGTCAATGTAATCATGCAAAACAACGTAAAAAAGAGAGTGGGGTAATAAACCTACCTGTATTGGTGGGAACAGCCTTCCAATTTCCAGGGCCATGTTGCTGTATGTATGACACCAATAAGATATCTTCTTCAGGCGTCCAAGGTCCTTTCTTGATGCCTTCTTTGTCACAGCAAGGCGGCCTTCCCATGACTGCGTATGAGTTGTCCTTAATGTTTCTCTAATTCCTCTATCTCTCTTTCTGCAACTCTTGATCTGGTTTTCCTCCAATCCTACTTGATCAGTGCTTTATGCGGAGCCAAGCTTCCAAGGCAAAGTGAAAGAAATGGTTGGCGTGAATATATAGACAAAACAGGGGAAGAAGAGAGGGGTGTGTTTGGGAAGACGCTGACTTAAACAGGAGTAAATAGGGAAGGCGGAAGAGTCAAAAGTCGACAGGAAGAGCATTAACTGCAACGAGAGAGGAGGCCAAAGTCAGCTTGTTGCTCTCAAAACCGCGTGGCATTCAATGACACTGCGCTGGGAAAAAGCTCTATTATCTGCTTTTAATGCCCCCTATAAAAAGTCTAATCCCCAGCGGCCATTAATGGGATTAAGTGAGATAAAGCTGTACTCCAGCAAAACCCCGGTCGCTTCAATTCAGTACTCCACTTTATCGTTTGCCTGCTATTTCTTTCTAAAACCGCCTGGTTTCATCCACCGATTACTGCTTTCGAAAAGCGACGGTGATGGGAGAAGTTATAAATAAGTTTAGTTTGCCTTGATTATGGATGCAAATTATTGATAAGTATGTTCATTAGATAGTAATATTGGGGTGGTTATGGTGTTTGCGCTGTGGAGCAAGAGGGTGGCGATAGGAAAAGAAGAGGGAAGGAGAAAGCTTAAACGGAGTGGAGACAGAGAATAAATGCGAGGAAAGGGATATATATTTTCAAGAATGGGGGATGCAAACGGTGATGGGAGGGAAGCAAGGTAACCCAACTTGGGATCCTACTTTGAAAACAAGTGCATAATAAATACGTGAATGACATCTGCACCGGATTATTATAAGTAACATGAACCTGCCTCGTTCACTGCCCGTTGCCCGTTGGCTTCTGCCTTTGACTTTTTTATCTCTCTCTGACCTAATCTGCTGTGTCCCCGAGATCCTTCAGATCCTCATTCCCTTCATATTTGATTTTCTTTCAATGTTTTTAGTATGCGAGTTAAATGCATGGCTGCCTCCATTTGAAAAATTAATTTTATTACAAGTTATAATTTAAATTAATATTTCAGTGCCTTTTTTCCCCCCAATACGTACATCCTCTCTTTAGGGAAAAAACAATTTTTCTTTTACATTCTCAGTTTACATTTGTCTTTTTCTGTATAGTTGTCTAATATAAAGATCTAATCAACGTTCGGTCAAATTTGAATATTTTCAGGTCGATTTAGGTGTGATAAGCTGGAGTAATATCCCTTTTATCATTAAAAAAGGGTATTTGTCATTAATATAATTTCAATAAAAAAAAAGAATTATCTAATAGTTCTGATTATGCCTAAAAAGAGTACTACCTCCGTTCCTTTTTAAGAGTTACAAGTAAATAAATCATGTTGACAAGACTACTAGAGATTAGGCAGCTAGAAGTATCTCAAAATTTATGGTGAGAAGTGTCATTATTGTAATAAATTTTGAAAATTTTCCCACTCAGTCTTTTTTTTTTTTTTTTTTGGGGCTCCGCTTATATGTTCTTTTATTAGGAGTAATTTCATTCGAAATACTTCTAAGCACTATCAAGAATCATGATGTGAGAAACTAAGTCAATTAATCCTTTCTGTTAGAGCCATATTGATAAGTCATAATTGTTAGAATTCATGGATTTTCTTTTTGGTTTGTAACAGCTGACTCCGTCGTGGACTCATCGTCCTTGTGGGGATGACGGCGGCACTGGGTTCGGCATTAGGTTTGGGCAGGGGTTCCAACAACACCGAGAACGCTTCATTTTTTTCCTCGGGTAAAATGGGGAAGGAATTTTTATGCATTCAAAAACTATATTCCCCTAACTGGGCCTCTAATCCTTTTCGGAAAGCAGGATTGGAGGCCGGCCCAGCCCATCACATGGATGTTTTCTGCGGATTATTCGTTTTTAAAATTAATTAATAGATTTGTACCAAAACAATAAATTAATTAATAGATAATCAGTAACATCCTATGTCACTTGTGACCCCAACGAAATTTATCCAAATTGGGAGGGGAAAAAACCTGCTAACTAGAATTATGGATATGCAAGTGATACAACCTTTATTAAGCAACTCTAGAAAATTGATTTGAATCGTTGGCATTCACAATGATGAGATAAAGCACAGTTAATTCCTCAGAGTAAAATAAAGGACTGTACTAAAAATGATTCTAAGTATAAGGATTCAATTATAATTTTTAAAATAATATGAAATTAAATTAAAAATTATATAAAATCATAACCGTCAAGATGAACTTCTATGCAACTAGTATTTTTTCTTTTTTAAACATATATATGACTAGTATTACTGTTAACTATTACGGCACAGGGAGAAAAAAAACCATTAAGTTGTGATGGTTTACTGACACTTGCCTGCATTTGGGTCCGGTCTCACATGGAGAAACTATTACTATTACACCCGTTATCATGTTAGGAAACTATTACGCCCACTGAATCCATGAAGTCTAAACAAACCGTATTTTTAACTCAGAAATAATACGATCCTGTGCCACTAATCAATAGATTGATATTATTACTCCATATATATTGATATAAGCGGTATGCATAGAAAAGGTTTTGTTGGGAGAGGCAAAACCCACTTTGATAATATCTACACTCTAAGAGGATTAGTCTCTAGCTATCGACCGGGAGAGATCACCTGATTTCTACCAAAAAAATATGTATTGATCTCATTTTTAATATAAAAGTTAGTTAACTAATTTAAAAATATTTAAAAAACTAGTTAAATTAAATATTTATAATAAATATGTATTGTCTTTCTCAAAATATTTTTACTAATCAAATATATTGACTAAAACTACTATTATTACAAAGACTAACTTGAAAGAAATTAGCTAAACATGAGAGACAAAGTAGATTAAGATTTTATATTTAAGATCAAAATAAAAATCAAATATATTTTTATATTAAAGATCAAAGGTAGTAATATATTTCTTTTGAAAAAATGGTTATATTATTTTAAAGCCATAAAAAATACAGTTCACTCGGACTCCATTGGATATACAATGTCATGACTACCCCGACAAAAAAAAAAGAAGAAGCTTATATTTGATAGGATCCTGAGAGGACACCACTTGCTGCGGAAAATGAAACACAATGCAAGTTGGAGTGGGGTTTTGTAGTTTTTTCACAACACTGGACGTCTGCATCGCACTCAATGTAGTCAACAACCAAGACTACGGGTTTCCCATGTCACAGGCTTCACATTGCGTTTACCTTACCTAACCGCATAGGCGTGGCTATGTGCATACTGGGTGATTAATTTAATTGCATGTCAAGTAACCCCCCCTTTTTTAACACGTAATTAACACCACTAATCGACTGGATTAGATTATTGAGAGCAGCCTCACATTCGAATTTAACCAAAATAACGTCTTCTTCTTTGATCCGCCACTCCCCAGATGCAGCGCTTTATCTAAAAATGAAGAACAAAGGCATCAGCCGCGAACTTGTTCTTGTATTTTCTTAATTAATTGCCCGCGATGCTGCTGCTCTGCTGTGTTTTTCTCTCACGCAATTTAAAAAATGCCCCACGTAAATCACTTTCCCGTCTTCTTTTTGTTTTTGGTGAATCCTATGTTTTGAATTCCCACCGAAAAATGTCATCAATTTCCGCGATTCTGTCCCTTCCCCCACACATACGCAGTAGCGGTATTGTATATTATTCCACACGGCGCGTTCAGATATTAATTCTTGTGTTCTCTGTCTCCATCACACGAACCCAAATTAAAAGGATGTCTTCCTGTTGTTTATTTGGTTAATTACATTCACACAACCCACATTCCCGTGCCATGCATATGGACACAACACAATCATGTCACTAATAGTAATTAATTAGCATATAAAAATTAAAGAAGAAGAAACCCGCAAGAAAGCGCCAAACTTTCTACAAAACTTCTTTATGGCAAAGTATTATGTCATTGGATGGCTTTGAAAGGGCCGCGTCCTTTTATAATTTTTTCGGGTTAGAAACGTCGTATCGTATGAGGCCGAAGTCAGAGGACACGGCTTCAAACAGTAACTAACGCAGCGTGATGATGAATAATTCATCAATGGGTCGGTTTGTGCCGTTTTTGCTCTTTTCATTCCTTTTTCTCAATGACTAAATTATTCGAAATTGTTTTGGCAGTATTCATAGCAGTGATCAGCACCATAACACCCATCACTGTAATAAAATCTACACCATTTAAATCTGATTTTAATAGTCTAGATTTAAAATTTTTAATTAATAATTTTTATATAAAAATTATTAAAAAAACTTACAGTTAAGAGACTAAATTTATTTTGAATTACGTAACATTTAAAGAAAAATATTTTTCAAAAAAAAAAATTAAAAAATTCAAATCTTAACCGTTCATATTAAATTCGAATAGTTAAGATTTGATAAGTATCATGGTATCTATTATTATGATAAATATCAAAACTGGTTCCTAAATTATCACGTTCCTTTCATTCCAGTTTTTACTTTCCACTTTAGGCGTGTTTGTCATGTTCTCTTTTTATTAGGCAGAAATGATAAAATAAAATATTAACAGGAGTAATAAAGAATTTGAAGCCTGAGATCAATGTTGAAAAAACTAAAATCCTCAATAACCTAGCAATCAATTAATAAAATTAATTCAAATAGAAAAAGTTAACCGAATCGGCCCTTTAGAATAGTCTCGTACATTTTTTTTTTACTAAATCATAAGTATTATCCTATCGGAGGCAATCCTACTCGAAAGCACTAAATGTGAACACTTCTCCCAATGGGGATTCAAATTTTGAGTCACTCATTGTGAAGAATTAACTCCTTCTACTAGACTTAACCCTGTTGATATACTTCGAGGAGACTTCATGATATCTATGAGTCGTGCTTATTTTAACTGCGAGTAGAAAGTAAAAAACATGAACTCGCTGACTCCAACACGAACGAAAATGAAACTACGAAGTTTTAAGAAAAATTTAAAACATAATTTCAAGGTAGGATAAATATATAAGAAGTAAAACAATTCCTTTTTATTTATTTATAATTTTCCTCATTTTAACTTTAGAAATGTTTTATTGTCCCCACATTTGATAAACAAATACGTATCATTTCTGATCAAGTACATTTAATAGAAAAAAAATCGACCACGCACTTATATATGTCCAAACACACCCAGGCACAAAGCATATGTTAGAATTGGTCACCTTCCTCGCAAAGGGGAAGGCTTTGATGTCACTGGACTCCAGGGTCTTTAATATTATACATGTGGTCCTTTTGTTTTGGATACTTCTCATTTTGGTTCCACCGAGCTTAGTCGTTGAAGATCTGACTTATAATTTATGAAGTTGTGGTGTTTGTCAATAACTCATCTATCGCTGTCCAATATATGTTTTGGTTGCAGTAAGTCTTCAAAACTTAACTCACCTGAATTGTTCTAATGAAAAAAATTCTCATTCCCTCCCTCAATACAATCAAGAAGGAACATAATACACCCGTATATATATTGCCAGCGAACATAACATATCTTTGGATTAAGAAATAATTGCTTTATCATTTTGATGTCAGTAATTATTTGATTAGTCGTGACAAACAAGTTTTTGCAATAAATTAAGGAGACCCAATAAAGCTTGAACGTCACTTGCTGTTCTTTCTTTTAACCCCTAATGTCACTTTCACGAGCATGTTTTCAATTCGAATGCATGGAATTAATGTGTTGATTACGAAGTGCATAAATATTTCTTTAAGACGCTAATCAATAAAACATTAATCATGGAATCAATATATTCAATGAATATGCATGGAAAATACTGATTGGCTAACAACTGGCATTGATGAGTATCCTTTTGGTAAAATCAATGAAAACTGTCGAAATTTAAAAAAAAAAAAAAGACACGACTCATGTTTAATAATAATGGGGATTCAAATTATATTTTGGATACGATAATTTTGTTAATAAAAAAATTATGAATATATATATATTTGTCACTTGTAAGCACGTCCTATTCATCAAGGGTTGTCTTCGCATTACTAGGCTTAACTCATCATATAAGTATTTTTTTAATGATAATAAAATATATAAACATAAACGACAAATAGAGTATTGTTTAAAAAGGAAAAAAAAAAAGGAAAGAAAAAACGCTGTGCTAGGCTCCGGTAATAAAACACCTCTGTGTTTGCAGATATTTTAAAAGCCAAGAGATAGCAATACAGGGGTCGGCTACTCGGCTTATCTAAAACGACGGTTCGGCCTGGGCAGTAAATGAAATGACAAAGTAAAGGACAAATAAAACCGGAGCCGGCCGATTTTAAGTACATTTTGTTTGGACGGATGGCGTTGAATCTATGAGCCAACGAATTATGACCCAAAAAGAGGTGTGAAGTACTGTGAGCTTTCACCCTCCACACCTTACGAAAGCCCGAGCATAATTCGCATGAAACTTGAACCAGAAGTCGGAGGTGTAAACTTTCAATTTAACCCAGATGGATCATATGTATAAAATGGCTCGGCACTTGTCATCAACTGATTGAAACCCCTTCCCCTGTTTTCTCTCGCATAACGGTTCTCAGAATCCCATGCCTCCAAGCAACCTCTAATGAGAATAGTTCGAACCCAAGTCGCTGACATGTACTTTTCTTCCCTAGTTTTTTGCTCCCAAATCCCTTCCTATTAGGTCAGATTTCAACCTCCTCTTAATCCGATTCTACATGTGAACGTTCCTCTTTACTGGTACTATGTCCCCTTCTCTTCCTCATTTTTTCAAACGCCGAATCAGCCTCCTCATGACTTCCCCTGTTTTGCTTCTATTGGAATGAACTTGGGTTCATGGATTTATTCCACGAGTGCCTCCATGAGATTTCTGCGGTTAACCCTCCCCTTTCACTATGAGTATGGGCTTTCCCACTGGGTTTTTGCACCGAAAGATGGTTCTTTTTTCTGGTTATTTTGGGGTCCTCCTCTCCTACCTTTGGCAAGCTCTGTTCTGGGTATTCGACAGAATTTTCATGAGGTTTGTTATTTTCAGTTTCCACTTCACCCAAATGTTTCCATATATATTAATTCTCCGGTTAATCGGTATTCCTGTTTTGTTGCTTTACGTTGGCAGGTATTTCAGTCCTGAAGCCATTAAATCAGCTCGTTCTGCGACTATTTCTCATGACTCAAATTTTTCCGGGCCAAAATCAGAGGCTGGAGCAGGGTATTCCAATTCTTCCAAAGATGAAGTGTTGAATTCTGAAAGTTTCGAGGAAGGTACTGATTCTCTTCCAGAGGAAAGTGATTCAGTAGACTCTAATAATTCCCAGCCAGAACCAGAGCCCAAAATAGAGTGTTCTGAAATTATGGACGACACCGAAAGTGTTTGCATTGAAGAAGCCGACTCGCCGAAATTGGTCTTCAAGTTCCAATACCAGAATTGGAAACTCTTTGAAGAATTTGACGAAAGAAATGATGAAAGTTCTCGTTTTGTCAACAACCGAGATATGAGTTCCAGCAAATATGAGTTCATCTCAGGCAATAGTGCCAGCCACTACTTGGAGGAACCCGAGGCTTCGATTCTCACTGTCAAGGAATTATTTGTTCAATCGAATGATGGGTCCTTGAAAAACAATGCAACCAAGAATTTTAGGTTCTTTTCTGAGATTGAAGGAGGAGACGTCCTTGAAAATAAGGCTGAGAAACTGAAAGCTATGCCATGTGTAGAAGCAACAGAACAACCAGAATCAAGGAAAAATCAAATGAAAAATCCTTATATTTCTACAAGCAATGTTTTTCCAAGTTTAGGCCACGAATCAAATCCTAAGAGTTCAAATATTAATTCTTTGCTCGGTAGTCAACTATCGGATTCAGACATGGGAACCACTGTTGAGCTTGACAAGTCAAGAAACCAAGATAATGAAAATGCAGGGTTAACAGAAGAAGATATGGACTTAGACGGGGATAGATGGTCAGATAATTTAGACGTTGGGTACGAGCCTGATGATTTTGATGAAGAAGACAAAGACTTAATGGAAGAGCTTCAAAAATTTGAAGAAGAGGCTCAGGCACAGAAGCTGTCGGGTAATAACGACAGTTGCAAAGCCGAAGAATCTGGCGGCAAAGAAAAACGGCTCATTGATTGTCCCGAGGACTCTGCGAAACCCAATTTGCAGAGCTCAATAGGTTCGGATCTTGAGGACTCCAACAGGTTTGATATACTGTGGGAACATCAAGATTTGATGGAGCAGCTGAAGATGGAGCTGAAGAAGGTGAAAGCCACGGGCCTTCCGACCATTCTTGAGGATTCTGAGTTTCCGAGGATGATGGAAGACTTGAAGCCATGGAAAATAGAGGACAAATTCCAGCCTGGTACTAGTACGACCAACGAGGTCCCAAAATTCTCCAGGAGCTACAGAGAACGCATGCGAAAATTCGATATCTTGAATTACCAGAAAATGTGGGCTATCGGTCAGTAATTTCCGTTTCTTCATATTTTGATTTAATTTTTTCAGTTTCCTCTTTTTGATTCTGGTTCTTTCCTGTTCTTTCTAAACACGCTTTTGATATTCCATACGAAGTTTCTTCAAAGAGTATTTTCGGTTAATGACCAATTCATTCAATCTCTATGATCGCCGGTCATTAACCCCATACCCCTCATCTAAGTCATTAAAATCATATTATAGGTTAGGACCCACTATATCTGGGGTTTGTTGAACACAGAAGTCACGAATCATGAACCACCTAAACACGTAGAAGTGAGTCACGGCTGGACATTTTTCTTTTTGGGTGGGTACGGTGCCAATATTTTAGACCGCTTCCTAACTTTTTTTTTAAATTTAAATATTAATCTAACGTATTTATTCATTTTTGAAAAACAATTAATCTGATGTATTTAAAGTTTCAATCCCACGGTACGCCCTCAAAAAAAAAAAAAACTCCCTTGAATTGGAGAGATGGTATTTCTATTTTTTATGCAATCCATTTTTATTTTGTTCGGTATTGCATAAAAGAGGGGTTGGACTGTAGTTTCGAAACATAAATGTTTGTCCTGCTACAGCAGATACGACAAGTCCCCCACATGAATTTTAACTGCCCTCGACTGGACAAGGACATCCGCATGAGTTTTAGGTCTTGTTTTTACGATGAAATACCTAGTTTTATGCAGACGTGTTTATACTCATGAAAATCTGCCCACCGTCTTTCTTTATGTTCATTTAAATGATCCAATGTAAAGACTTTGTACCCACATCAAGTTTCTAATTCAATTCCTATTTCCCCTACGTCATATCGTCTGGACCCTTCCCAAAAAGAAAATCGCTCCCTGCAATGATCTGGCAATGATGTTAATGCTCCACCCGATCGTTCCATGACCTTGTAAAATATCTTACTAAGCAAGACACTTTGAAATATCATTTTATGTTTGTAAATTCTAAGTGGTCTTCATATTTTGCTTAGTGTTTAAGAATCCAAACCGACAAAAGATGGCACTTAAAAAGTTTCAAAATCCTCCTGTAGTTTTTTTGCAGTCAAAGGAGCCATTACAGTCATTTTCGAGCCACAAGACATCTTCTACAAGGATCATGTCCCAACTTTCACAAAGTTTTCACCGTTCTAGACCTAAAAAATCAGAATCAGACCCAGCGAAGAAGTTCATTAGGGAACTGTACAGTGATCTGGAAACGATCTATGTGGGTCAGCTGAGCCTGTCCTGGGAATTCCTTCAGTGGCAATACGAGAAGGCCCTGGAGATATGGGAATCTGACCAGTACGGAACACGAAGGTTCAACGAAGTGGCCGGCGAGTTTCAGCAGTTCCAAGTCCTCCTTCAAAGGTTTATCGAGAACGAACCTTTCCAAGAAGGGCCACGAGTGGAGAATTACGTCAGAAATCGTTATGCCATGAAGAATCTTCTTCAAGTTCCAGTAATAAGAGGTGAGTAACTTTGGAATACTCGTGCAAATTGCTCCGTGTCTTTATTCTTATTCGGATTTGGAATTCACCGACTTCCGACGGTGCCTTTTTGAGCTTGACTACAAAATTCCACGTGGAAGGCATACATTTACGAATAATAGAGCCATTACTTGTGTGCAGAGGACAACGCAAAGGATAAGAAGAAAATAAGAAAAAGAGATTCGGATGACGATGCCATCACAAGTGGCATGTTGGTGGAAATCCTAGAAGAATCAATTAGGACGATCTGGCGTTTCATTAGGGCGGATAAAGACGCATGTAACCTCGCACTCAGAGGTGCAAAAGAGAATCAAACAGAACTCCAAGACCCTGCAGATGCAGAGCTTCTAGCGCAAGTCCGAGCAGAGCTTCAGAAGGTAATTGAGTTCATTAATGTTGTAACGTGGTTCTTCATTTTGTTTTGTTTTTCCTGTATGGGTGATGTAGCTAAGTGGCATGATGTTGCAGAAAGAGAAGAGACTGAGAGAGATATTGAGGGGTGGAAGCTGCATATTGAAGAAACTGCAGAAGCAGAAAGAGGAAGAGACGGATCAGTACCTATACTTCTTTTCACAAGTGGATATGAAATTAGTTTGGAGAGTGGTGAACATGTCGAGGATAACGACGGATCAACTGGCTTGGTGTCGCAATAAACTAACCAAGATTAATTTTGTAAATCGAACATTACATGTACAACCCACGTTCTTACTTTTCCCGACCTAACCTTCATTCCTAGCTTTCTTTTCAATGCTCCCCCCATTTCTGGTAGCATTCTAATCTCTTCCTCACAATTCAACTAAGCCAATAGTCACCGAAATAACATGTGGAGCATTTACTATGTATGTGCCTTTTTTAAGAAGAAAAGGCAGCGTCTCATTTTTTTAATAGATTAATAAATGACAAAATATATATATATATATATAAAAGAGGAAGAGACGGATCAGTACCTATACTTCTTTTCACAAGTGGATATGAAATTAGTTTGGAGAGTGGTGAACATGTCGAGGATAACGACGGATCAACTGGCTTGGTGTCGCAATAAACTAACCAAGATTAATTTTGTAAATCGAACATTACATGTACAACCCACGTTCTTACTTTTCCCGACCTAACCTTCATTCCTAGCTTTCTTTTCAATGCTCCCCCCATTTCTGGTAGCATCACAATTCAACTAAGCCAATAGTCACCGAAATAACATGTGGAGCATTTACTATGTATGTGCCTTTTTTAAGAAGAAAAGGCAGCGTCTCATTTTTTTAATAGATTAATAATGACAAATATAATATATATATATATAATATATATATATATATATATAAACCAGAGGGGTTTACGGGGTTTGTGAGTGAGTGCGTGCGTGTGTTCACAAATGCAAATTATGAGTATGCCGTCCTAATCACCATCATTCCTCATCTCGTCTAGCAGTAATTAATTAAGAATGATCAATGTCTATTATAAATGAAATTTCAATCTCTCCTCTTAGTGACTGCAACGCGTCCGCATTTTTCTATAAACATTTTTTTTTGTCCTTTCCTTAAAACTCGTTTTTTCACCATTCACAAAATTTTTCAAATCAGCAAATGCTATGCTGGCCTTAAGGGTGGAAACAGGCCAGGTCAAGCCTTGTTCTTAACAGATCAGGCCTGTTTGGAGTTTATTGACCTGAGCCTAGCCTGTGGCTTGTTGCAGGCTTATTTTTTAGCCTGAGCATGGCCTGTATAAAGGCTGACCTGGCCTGAAACCTGTTAAAAGACCTGTATTTTTAAAAAATTCAAATTATAATAATTATTTTTTTTAAAAAAGCTAAGATTAAAAAAACGTACATAATAATTAAATTTTAATCTTGTCTTTTATTTAAATTTTAGTATCATAAGCATTGTTTTAAATCTTAATTATAATTTATAAGAATATTATTGAAAACTAATTGTAATTATATGTTAAATTTGGAATAAGACTATGTTTAAGTACACACAAAAAATTAAAATTAAGACAAATAAATAAAGAGGAAAAAAGTACTAATTTTATAATGAATAAAGAGGGTATCATACTTAAATTAACATAATACGTAAGTTAGTTAATTTATCATTCCTGGAACAAAATTTTTCCTTCCTATTTTCTTTATATTTTTAAGATTTAAAAATCACATTATTTATTGATATTATTATTTTAAATTATATTTTTATCTTCACTTGTTATCTAAACTTCAAAATCTAAGAAAAGATTAAGCTATTAACTATATATTAAAATTAAAAAATAAATTAAAAGAGCACATTAACAATAATAGCATTAATAATTTTTTCATATATTATAATTATAAATTTCTAACAGGCCTAGGCCGACCTAACAGGCTTTTTAAAAAGCCTAAGTCCGGCCTGTTTAACTAAACAGGCCTTCAAACAGGCCTGAGTCTGTCTTTTTTGGAAAACAGGCCAGGCCAGGCCATAGGTCCCTGACAGGCCGCTTGCCCTGTTTCCACCTCTAGCTGGCTTTGGGGGTTAGGTTAAGAGCTGAAATAACTATTAAAGAAAGATGATTTTTAGCACTAGTGGTACCAAGGAAACAGGATTAAGACTACTAATTCATTAACAATGACCATTTTGGCAACCATTCGAATAAAATAGATAAAGAAATCAGTTTAAAATTTGGCTTGAATGTCTATTCTACAGTTCATCTCTTCGTATGGAAATATTACCTGCATATATTTTTACGTGTCTCACTCGATTTGATTGGTTTTCTATTTAAAAAAAAGTTAATACCATTTTTTTAGTCAATGCATTTTGACTTTGTTTTATTTTCACTCCTTAAAATTTGAAACCAGTAGTACTAGTATTTCAAATTTAACCTCATTTTTATTCTGATTTTTGAAATTTAAAACCAGTAATTTTGATTATTAAAATTTAATCTCATTTTGATGTTGATGTTTGATAAAAAATATATTTCAAGGACTAAAAATCTTTAGACGGATCAAAATAAAGTCAAATTTTATAAACCAAAATGAAAATGTAATTAAATTTTAGGGACCAAAACTAAAATTGGATCAAATCTTACTAAAAATTATATTAACCTTTAAAAAAAATACAAAACCCCAATATAAAAGGATAATAAATAATAAAATATTACTCTTGCATTATTTTTTGAAAACCGATCATTTCAGCCAAATAAAAATGTTAACCTTGAAAAAAAAATTGTTCTTAAAGCAATAAAAATTATGGATACTTTCTATTATCTCTGGCATTTAATATAATAACTATTTAACTAATTTAAGTAGATTAAAAATTTTATTAAATTAATTATTTGTAACAAATAAGAGTTGAATTTTTTAAAATATTCTTTTAATTATAGCTACTTTTAGATAGAAACCTCTTAATGTATGTAATCGATAAGAATACATTAGAGAATGAATTATAAATTTGGGAGAAAAAATGGATGATATATTAGGACTAGATCCATTTCTAACTAGTAGTATATTATTGTTCTCGTATTCTCCAATTAAATATAATTTCTATAAAAAAATAATTAAATATAATTATCTGAATGACTGTTAATAATTGCTCTAAAGAATTGTTGGCCAAAATTCTTCTAAACGGGTGATTTATGTTTTTGGGGTGACGCCTTTGTTGGAGGCCTACGCTTTGGGCTGTTTGAATGGGTAATCAGAACAGCCAAGGGCCCATAAACATGCTTAATCGCCACTCGCCAGCGTGGGAGAGCCGACGAGAGCCGCACGATCTAGGGTTTTTGTTGACTCCTTAAAATGTAAAGCCAATCCCTCCACTCAGCGTTTGGGGGCCGTTTCACAGCAAGGCGAAGGCTGCGGTTGAGGTTGGAATCAGGACGGGAAGATGGTGCAGCGGCTCACTTACAGGAAGCGTCACAGCTATGCCACCAAATCCAACCAGCACAGGGTTGTGAAAACCCCTGGTATATTCTTTTGTTCCTGCTTTTCATTCTTTCCTGATTTCTCTCGGATGTGCTTCATCCATTTTCTTCATATTTTGTGTGAATATATGCCTGACGTAGATGTTCTTATCTCTTAGCCATGGAGTTGGATTTTTGATTGCTTACGCGTTTTGGGCTTGAACATCTGGAAATGTTTTTTAGGTGGGAAGTTGGTTTATCAAACCACAAAGAAGAGAGCAAGCGGTCCTAAGTGCCCTGTTACTGGAAAGAGGATCCAAGGGGTATGTATGCTTTCTGAATTGTGTGAATGTTATGAACCCTGCATGCATTTGCTCTACCATCCTTGAGTGGTTTGCTGCATTTTTTGAATTTTAAGTCAAGCACTGCATTATATAGAATCGGCAGAATCAATTTTTTCTAATAACTTTTCTCTCGGGTGACTGCTGGATGCTTGGTATTTTCTCTACTATGTGAAGCATTCCGTGTTATGAAGAGATAATATTGATTGTTTTGGTGATTAAAAGGTTATACATGTGGGGAAATACATAAAAAAGTTGATGTCCCCTCAATCCTGGTCTGCTTGTTGATCTGATGGCATATATCCACTTTAGTTAATTTCCTTTCTTTCTTGGTTATATAATTTTCTCTATACCATATCTTTCCTTTCCTATTTTATCACCCTTCAGGTGGTTATTTTGAGTCCTGGCCTTATCTATTCTAGTACATATTTTATTGGTTATTACTTATTCAGCAGTCAGTACTTGTGCATCCTCGGTTCCAGGCAGAATGAGGATAGGTTGAGTGAGGAGAAAGGAGGGCAGCATAGTCAGCTGTTATTCTTGATCATATATCATATTGAAATAAATGTGGTATGCATGTGGAGGAGAAGATCTAAGTATGCTTAAAATCTATTTTCCTTTTTGTTGCTGCTGGTAATCATAGAGGTAACTAAACTAATCCATGTAGTGTTATAATGTTAGGTGCATATTATGAATGCAAAAATTTTTATTTATCTACCCTTTGCTTTGTCTCTGGTATTGAAGGTGTTAATCTTTGAAGTTTTTTGTTCTTTGTGCTAGTGTCAAATAACGGTGGATGTTATTGTGCCACTTTCCTACCATAATTTTTCTGGTCCTGATTTAATTTGCAGATTCCACATTTGAGACCTGCTGAATACAAGAGGTCCAGATTGTCTAGGAACCGTCGAACAGTTAACAGGGCCTATGGAGGCGTGTTGTCTGGAGGAGCTGTAAGAGAGAGGTATTTACTTAAGAAATCATTATTTATATATTTCCTTTTTAATCTTTCTTCTTAATGAGGGTAACTTTGAGGTTTTTATTATTTGTTTAGGATAATCCGTGCTTTTCTAGTTGAGGAGCAAAAGATTGTGAAGAAGGTACTGAAGATCCAAAAGGCGAAAGAAAAGCAAGCATCGAGAGGTTAAGCTGAGCGGGACATGGGTGAAATGTGCCAAAGAAATTTTGACTTTGGATGGAATTATGAATGATGAGCTTGATTTGAGTTGTTTTTTTAAAGATAATTGTGTTTTATAGTTTACGTTTAGCATACATTACCAGGTTTGCTGATTGGATGCATTCTTAATGATAATTCTAAATGTGACCACTACCCATTGAGCTATCAGCAGGTTAAATTTATTGATGAATGGAAGTTTTCTCATGAAATGAAGTGATTGCTTGGTTTCGTGAATTCAAATATCGACGAATGTCATGTTATAGACGTGGTAAATTATGAGGAGTGGCATTATTATTTTGAAGTAAGCCTGGTTAATTTCTTGACTTAGAACAACCCAGCTGTTGTCATGGTAATATGCCAAAGATTTATGATGAGTTATTCTGCGATGGTGCTTTTCCATGTTGGCGAATCCCACCTGGCTAAAGGCTCTGACTCTGGTGATTTCAGCTCGATTTGCTGCATCATTTCGCGAGGTTCTCTTCGATAATTGTTGGGCTTATTTTAACATTGAGGCACGTCAAGTGGCCTAAAGTTGAGTTGTTTTAGAGTTTCTAGACTGTCTATTTCGATATGAATGCTACCCTGCTTCATTTTCTCTGCCAGGCAGGTACTCTCGAAAAGTGCTAGTAGTGAACACCTTCATTTCATGGAGTATAATGTTGGGATATTTTGTAATGGAAAAAACGGAGAAGTGGAGGCCCTCTGCTTCTATAACTTAAGTGAAAGCATATTCATTGTGCATTTTTTTTATCACATTCTATCTTTCTTGATGTGAGATGGATGTTGATGAAATAAGTTTCTTTTTCTGTTTATATTCTTGACTTTGTTCTTTTGTGATTAATGGATATAGAGTTTTTATTGAAAAAAAAGGCATATTCATTGCGCGTCACTTGTGTCAAGAATAGAGCCTCAGATTTCGGTGAACGTCTCGGATGCTATCATGTTTGACGAGTTTCGAGGATCATCTAGGAAAATCATTCCTAAGTGCAATCTTCTAATATTTTGGTTTCATTATAAAATTATGGCACAAAATTTTAAGACAAATCCTGTCATGTGATATTTAATGATAAAAATATTTACCTACAAAAAATTACTAGTATGTTATTATGTCATTTTTAAAATGTTATCCACTTGTGATGTTTTTAAAAATTAAGAACTTCTATATAAAGATTGTTTGAAAAAATTAGATGTAACCCAGGTCAAGAAAAAATTACACGTAGCGTCAGAAAAGCTTATGCTGGGCGCCGTACTTTGACCACGTCCAAAGTAACATTACATTGATGAAATTGGTCCATGTTTTGTGGAATGACATTGTAAATTTGTCACATTGACAAATTTTTTTAGCAAAATATTGACGAATTTCATCAGCGTAATCTTACGTGGTAAAAAGTAAAAACTTACGTGAGGAAAAAATTACTCTATTCTTCATATTAAAAAAAATTATATTCTTAGAACTTTTGAACCCAGTTGCCGACCAAATAACCAACCATCCAGAGTCCGACGATGCAACCCCACAAATATTTGGCGGATTTAATTAATCCTCTTTCTAGTTATCCCCAACAAAAAAAAAAATCCTCTCTTAAAAGTGAAAACATAACGTGGGGGTGGCGCCTTAGATCAAGTCGGCCAACGGACCTAATGCAAGATGTTCTTCCACATGAAATTTTAGATACAGAAAAGTCATCCTAGTAGTAGCTACATCATTGCGATTAAATAAGAAGATAAAATAGGAGAAAAGTAAATAATAGGGCAATATGAAAACAGTGCTTCAACATGCATGTAGGGGCATAAAATATATACAGCCAAACAAATCAAACCCCTCTGTCCAAAACAAAAATAAACCTTTTCATCATTGGCCCAAAAAAAGACAAAACGGGAAATCTAACATGTCTTTGCTTGGCATCATTACAACGCAGAGGGTCAACTAAAAAACCTGTAATGAACAGTTCAAAATGAACATGATCACAACTATTGATTTGAACAAATCCTGCATACCAGATACGTACAACTAGTCAAAATACAAATATCCGTGAAGTCCCCAGCCTCCTGCTGACGAATTTTTGAACAACGTCTTTTGTTTTGCGTGGCCGGGTCCAGCGTTGATGAACACTATTTATGTGACAGGAGATGATAGCACCACGCCTGTACACTTAGTTGTAATCTGAGCAGCACTGGCCCCAGATTTATACTAATTGCAAACATAAGAAACCCCTTGGATAGCCCCAGTTTTGCCAATTGTAGCATTTATCAGTGCAAATGTCAGTTGAACAAGGGGGTGTCCCATAGCAGAGGAGAAGCGGGCCTAGTGAAAGAAAACCCTGTTGCTCTGTTTATATTCCCTTGCATATCCTGAGGTACGCTCGTTGATAATAAGCCACTAAACTGCTGGTTTGTCCCTTCAAATCCTTCGCAGTCTGGGTTCAAAAGCATGGGTCCTGACGCTTCCAGCGTGGAGAAATTGAAGCCGCCATCAATATCTCCTACTCGGGCGTCGATGGGTTTGTAGGAGGGAACATCTGAAGCTGAGAAATATGCGCCGGAGATATTTTCTTTCGTGAAAGACAGATTTTCTGCACTGAAATGATTGCCGGAGGTGGTGGCACCACCACCATGAGTGAGGATATCACCTGCCGGCAAGCTGGGGATCCAGGGGGGAGATTGAGATGAAGGTTTGTGAGTGTTGGTTTTCTTGAATATCCTGCAGATTGCCCATGAGTCCTGAAACATCACAAGTTAGAAAACAGTTAGTGGAAGTACGAGAAAGAGAAATGATAAAGATGAAGAATAGATGGAGGAGAAGAGAAGCGCGCGTACAGTTGGAGGGAGGTTTGTGGGAAGAGGAGAAACAGAAAGAGAAGGAAGGCGAAACTCATGCATCATCCATTCAGTTTTGATGCCTCTGGCCGCTCTGCCTCTGTAGAACACAAGCGACTTCTTTAAACCGATGCACCTTCCCTTTGAGGAGTATATAGGCCGATCAGTTCCAGTGGCCTTCCAGAAGCCAGCTCTGGTCACACGATTTGGGCGAGCACTGTTTCTGTATTTTCGGTCTCTTTGACAGTAGAAGTACAACTCTTTTTCACCAGTACTGCTCGCCATCTCTTTCAATTGGGATTATCAGCAAAAATAAACGAGTTGGAACCATGACATGAATCAAACAATAGAACAGATTAGGTAAGTCATGAGAATTGATTCTTACTTGGAAGATCCCATGGATCGTACTTGTAAATATCCACTTGCTTAATGATGTCAATAGGAAGAGTCTTCTGCTCTATCTTATTCTTGAGGTAGAAGTCAACAAGCTCCTCGTCTGTCGGATGAAACCGGAAACCAGGCAGCAGAATATCGTCAAAAATGTCTATTTCGTTCTTCCCCTCCATGTCCACTTTCCCTCTCTTGTCTCTCTAAGAAGAAGCTACGCCTGGTCAGTAACTGACATGATATAAAAAAACATATCTACGGACAAGAAGATTCCCGAAAACCGAACCAGAGTGGAACATATATAACGGAAATGAAGCAGTTTACAGTGTCTGGAAAGTGGAAACTTACTTGGAACAGAGACACGGGATGCTTCCCAAGCTTGGGCCACCTGTTGAGGATTAGTTTAATGGCGAGAAGGGTTCAATTTCAAAGAAGCTTACAGGGAAATGAAGCGGGTCAAGTCAAGAAGAAAGTAAACCCGTTGTTTACTGGAAGGTCTCGCTGACCCACGTTCCCAGAATTGGCAAGGTTTATGGGCCTTTATAGACTGATTGATTATTCCCTTTTCAAACTTGCTCATGAAGCCCTGCTCTAATCTTCAACAAATCAAAGAGACAGCAACAAAATGACAAGGCAAGCTTCCAACGTAATTATTCTTGATTATTAAATTAATAGCAGATTTTATCTTGAATTTTTCTTTGTTTACAGCAGGATGGGCCCTGTTGCTTATATAATAATATTGAGGTAGTATTCAACTTGATTGATTCTCTGCCTCATTCCCCTTCTTCTGTGACAAATAAAAAGCGAGTCATCCATCATCGGAATAGACATTAAAAAATTCCAATATGTGTGTGTGTATTTAAAATTCCACCAACGTGGATCTCAACTCCGGCCACGAAGGCCATTGCCCCTTTAACCCCCTTTAACCCGTTGGGGCATTTCAAGTTAGTGTGATCCATCAACCATTTAGCTATTATAGAATGATTTAATAACTTGGAATTTTTAATTTAATCTCTTGATTAAATTAAACTTGTTGTCAGTCGAAATTTGCACAGCTCATCATGGAGCCTGCCTAACTGTTGACGAGCGGAATATCATATTATACAGACTTTTATTCTCCTTAATTAGGGTTAATTCTTAAAGTGTAATTATTACAGTTTTAGTTATTGCATCTTTCTTCATTTCATTCTCTAAATAAGAGAAATTCTTGCACCCAGCCATATTTTCTTATGATGAATACTACCCTGTCTGATTGTATGGTATACTAATTCAATATCAGTTCAACAAGACAACAATGACTAGGATGAGCCCATATATTTTTACAAACAGTCCTAGATAAATCTGAAATTGGCTCCTCTCCGTTTCTTATAGCTTGTAGTTTGTGCAGCTTCTTATAACTTTTATAAACATATTTATAACATAATATCATTTTTTCTAAACACTCATGTAAATCTATGTTAAATTATTTACTTGTCTTATTTTTGAAAGAATTAAAATAAAGATATAATGAATCAGTCCTTCCACTTTTTACTATACTTGAAGTAATTTTATCTACATTTTGTTTTCAAGTTATAACAATATTAATTGCTATTTTCCTAATTATAAATTTTCTTTAATTACGGGAAAAAAAGATTATTACGAAGAGAATAGATAAAATAAAATGGGCGCCAATTCTGCCCTTGTTTGTTCCCTGCCCTTATTTTCATTTTTATACTCCTTCCTCGCACCCGAAGAAGAAAGAAAAGAAGACCTGCAACTTCTTAGAAGCAGCCTTCTTCTTCCTTTTTTTCCCCCCACTCCTTTAAAAGCGAATCTAAATATTTCATTTACACATTTCTTCTCCTACAAGACCCTCCGCCGAATTTAAGGACCATTATCTTTTTTTTTCTTTTTGCCATCCCATTATCATATTTATTTACCTATTTTAAAAATACACATTTCATCGTATTCTAAATTTCATTTATTGAGTACCGTCGATAAACAACGTGAAACCGTGAAAAAGAAACAAGATTCTTGGACAAAGTAATTAAAATGAATGTTTTTAATTGGCCTGCAAATTAATTAGCGTCCATGAATAAATACTCTCATTTTGTGTATTACTCCTATCTTAATACAAAATTTATTTAACTAATTTGATTAGATTAAAAAAATTAGATAGATTAGTTAATTAAGTTCTATATTAAGGACTAGAGGATTAATATTTTTATTGGGGAACATTTGGAATTTATTATCACTCGTTGCGCATGTTTTTTCAAACTATCTTCGCTCAGAGATCGCAATTTTCCCTCGCCCCTACACGTATATTACCCAGATCGAGGAACATGTTGGCATCTGAATAATTTTTATTCTTCCCAAATCTACTCCTAATTAGATAATGGTATTTTTAAAAAGATTATTTGTTAAGGGTTCAGAGAAAATCATTAAATAGAGGTAGTTTTGAAAAGATCTTTTAAAACATCATAGAATTTTAAACCATATATTATTTAAAAAAAAGTACAGGCTAACAAATTATGTACGGAGGGAGCATATGAATTTATGTGATGGCTTGATAGTCATTCTTCACTTTTTCTTTGGTAAAAATAAAGTTTATGTAAGTTGAATTTTAAAACTCATCAAAATTAATTTATGCCTCTCAACTCAAAAAGTACTTAAAAGTTGCTCATTAATAAAGTCCTCATATCAACAGCAGAATTAGTTAATTGTTACTTTGATTGGCTCAATAATACGTTAAACACATTAAGTATATGTTTGTATTGTAACAAGTTGATGACATACTGCTGTGTAACCCCTGTAAAACACTGTTTTTTTTAGTAAATAAAAATACTCAGAGCTGTTTAATTTAGAATGAATGAATTATATTCTTAATTTTAATCAATTTCTTTTAAACATGTTTTAAGTAACAAACAATAAAATAGAATATTTTTAAAATAAGACTCGACTGCAAACGAATTTTTATCTTCTGCATGTGACTTGTCTAGCTATAAGCGTACAAGAGTCTCTGGTAAAAAAAAAAAAAGTGTACAAGAGTCCGCATCTTTTCTTTGAAATCCGAATAATGCAGGCGAAGAGACGTTATATTATTCTTTCGAGAGAAAAAACAGTTTCAGAAACGAGTGAATGGCTGGTCAAAAAAAGAAACGAGTGAATGAAAAAGGAGAGGGAAGAAAAAGAGAAATTCAATACGTGTCATATTTTCATACAGCTTTTTCTTCATCTTTCCTTTCCATCATATGTGGTTTGAAATGTAAAATTTTTCTTAAAAAAATGTTATAAATAAAATCTATCTTTTCTATTTTGAATAAAGAATAACTATCATTTATGTATATCATATCGCAGTTATTTTGGGCCTTGAAAGTTGAAAATGTTTTACATTTTCGTTACTTTGACTAACCATGCCCTTGTGTTGCATAATATATCAGCACGAAAGAATCTAGATTAATCAGACTTACACGTTTTGGAAAGCAAGTTTAATTTAATTTAACCAGTGTATAATATTTTGTAAACTACGTTCTATTCTCTGATAGACGCAGGCCATTGCATTTTACGAATAATGTGAGATATTAAAGTTTTTATATTATATATACTTGCCATTTAAGACGCCATCATAGTTCCAAACTTATCCGCTGCAAAGGCAAAGCAAATTTGACAGACCGTGAATTAATATTTATTAACGTGTGGTATTAAGTTTCAATGAATCATATAGCCATATTAATATACCATAATCTCCTGAATTTAAATATTTTTAATTATTAAACAATCGGTGAATAGATTGAGGAAGCAAATATATTAAAACAGATGTCAAAATTTCCATTAAAGTGGCACATTAATATTGATATAAAAGCAAGCGTCATGTTCTGTAAATTATCCCCTCCCAAATTCTATTTGCTTACCTTTCAAGTTACTGTCATATTTCAGATCACATCCCTTGTAAAAGCAAATTTGACAGATTAAGGAGGCGGTCACTTGTTAATTAATTACCGTGAAGGATCAAGCCTGGATGAGTCATTTTTACCAATCAAATTGAAATCCTCTTTAATTAAAATATTTAATATTTATTAGTCAGTAGACTGAGGAAGCAAACCATGGAAACATCAGCTAGTAACAATTTCTTTCCATGCAGCTTCCACAATATTTATAAAAAAAAATAATTAATTAAGCTATATGGATAAGTGGCTAAGGTGCTTTGGGAAACTGGGGGGCCGGAACGAAGAAATGAAAAATGAAAATAATTTAAGCATGTCACAATGGATTACGTGGTTATATTTATATAAATACAACATTACCAAACAATTTCAAGAATTTTGGCGATGCAATTTCCCTCACAAGGACGACTGGATAGCTGATAAGTGAAAATACTATGATAATGAAGTATTTTGACTTGGTTGGCAAGACCATCGTTATCGTTTCATTTGGATAGGGTTAAGCTAACCAATTAAAATTGCCATGGAATTTTCATTAAATAAAATTGCCATGGAATATTGGTAGCAAATGTTTTGTTCATCATCAATTTAACTTTTTTTCCCCCCAAAAAGTCAATTTGCAAAATTGAAAACAACAGACTATATAAGCAAAAAAAAGAGGAACAGGTCTCTGGCCCAAGGAAAGCCCAAACACAACAGAACCTTAAAGTGACAGAATGCCCAACGCGGTCCAAAACCCTCTATCCCACGACATCTTCAGTACTTCAATGAGGATGGTATAGTTCCTATCATGTCAACAGACCCTCGTACAAAACAAAAATAAGCCTGCTTAAAGGGTTGTAACTCGCAGCATTTTATACACTGGTGACACGAAACGTGTCATCTCAAGATCTCTGTTCCTCTAGAACTACGGGCATTTCCAGCTTTTCACTTCCCCTCTGAATTCTTAAAATTACCTTATCTCCTACATTGTAATCATCCAATGTTTTCAGCAGTTCTGCTTTGTTTTTGACCTGGTCATTTGACATATTTGAAAATCACATATTTTGGCATCTGACGAACATGATACAGGTACAAACTCTGAATAAAACAGGTTTAGTTAGAAAGGACTCACAGGCTTATTGTCAATTGCAACAATGATATCCCCAAGGACTATATTGCCGGCAAAGCCTCTAGTGGTGGGATTCAGCCCAGCCTTAGCAGCAAGACTATTCCCGGGAACCTAAGAAATTATGAAGCTTTTGCATATCAGAGATTGTTTAGAAGCCAACGTTCTACCAACTTTTAGTTACAGTACAAAAATCTAAAAGGAATTGCAGAGGAAAAAGTCAAGATCTCTTGGATTTACCTGAAGAATAAGGGCTCCATTTCGAACATTAAGTTGGCTTGCAATTAAATCCGGAGCAATATCCACATTTAAACCAGCTCTAACAACCTTCCATCGAGGAAAGATGAACT